GGTCTATTTAGTCTTAATATCACTTTAAACTTAAAAGCACGTTCCACACTAGTTTTGTAGGCGAGGACAGCACACCCTACACCTCCATTATTAAGCTTTTTTGGCTCTTCAGAGACGCGGGATGGTCGGACTAATCAGAAGGCTGCAACCCTTGACATTATTATGATAACTGCTGTTTAACGCCACATTTCGCGCTCCTAAAGTTATCACAAGAACGCTCAGTTATGAGCAAAAGTCTGATCCCAGGCGAGACTTACTCCTGTAACCTACAGCATAAAAGTCAGCTGAGAGCATGAAAGCGGCCATGATGACGCAATGGATAGCGAACTCGTCGGAAAAGCGTGAGTTGAGGGTTCGAGTCCCTCCTGGGTCACAGTTTTGCACATATCTCAGCATCCTTGTGGCAACGGTTGACTGCTTCCGCCCCTACGATCTGAGGCCAACATCCTTGGACCTACTCAGGACATTAAGATCACCACACTCTACCCGAGAATTTCTTCACTTGGCCTGCCGAATTCTGTTTCGTCTCCTGTGGTTGAGAACTGGGAAATTCACTGCGCAAAGAGCGAGGTTACTGAAATTGAGTGACTAATGTTTCCTTGTTAGTTGACTTGACCTGATTTCTAGGTTCAGTCAGCAAGGTTCAAGTGCGAATACCTTGAACGTAGCGCCACAATTAATGCCGTTTAGGCCGCATGATCACCACGCTGATCTCTCGGCAAGCATTCTGGCGCCACTAAGCCTTTGTGAATCTAAGTTGGTGGGGGAGATCCGACATATTTTTGAGATGAAGGCTTTCTTCGAGTAGAAAAACGTATAAGATCAAAAATATGCAGCATTGTCATTGCTGGCACTGCAAATCATTGCGCCAATGCAGACAGGGCGCATCATTGTTGGGGATTTTTTGTCACCAAAAGTCAACCGCCACTCCCACAACGCCAAAACGTAAATACGACCCCCCTCCCAAAAATGATCAAATACGACCCCCTCCCTTTACAACGTCCATGAAGCGAGAAAAATCAACTATCAAAATAAATTTTTCTCAGCCCAAATACGACCCCCCTATTGGGGATTCCCAACAACGATGTGCCCTATGCAGACCGGCGCCACGCAGCGTTGGACATAATCTCGATTTTAAAGCGTTGAACATAATCTCGATTTTAACGTAGACTCGGGTCGTGAAGCTTTTCTTGTAGATGTTGCGTGTCAGTTCGGAAGGCAATGTACAGTTGGACGAAGGAATGTCTAAACTACACTGGTGCATAGAGCAGACATCCAGCTCTATTGCATGAGCTGTGGTAGACCTCTTCTAGACGGGTGGACTGCACTGTTGTGCTGAAGGCAGACCGTGCAGACACATTCCTCCCTCTGACTGACGATTCGCTTCAGATCTCGTAGTTGTTTTGTGTAGGAATTGACTGTAGAAGTAGCTTCTCGTACGATAGTTTAACAAGCCAGAGCCCCACAAGTTGAGTTCAGACGAGTGTTCAGACATCACTTCGTCTGTCTTCGAGACTGTGCATAGGCCCCCGCTTCAAAGTATTGGCGTCGTAAAGATTGCCCGATTACGGGGAGGGGGGGGGCATCAGCTGTATGCAGCTCCTTGTTTTTGGCCTCGGCAGCTCCCTCTAGTCAGAATGGTTAGGGTAAAAGTTTGAGGGAGGGGCTCGAGGGTCGGTGTTGACGATACGGGACGCAATTCTTGCCCATATTGCAAAAGTAGGAGGTATGTGAGTGTACTACTGGACTTGGGTATTACTTGTCACATCATAGACCACACCTCTTCTTATAACGGGCAAGTATTTTGAGTTGAAGAAATATGACGACAATATGACGTCAATCTATTAATATTACGTCTCTGAACCCTTCGTGACGGGAATCTGAGGGCTGCCCCACGATCGCTTCTCGCATATTTCGTCTTGATCCCAGAAGCTCTAAATTCCAACTTCCTAGATTTGGTAAATGGTGGGGTTCCGCTCAAGCAACACAGAACTAGCTGGAACGGATTCACCTTTGCAACTCTCTGTAGATGGCGTATTAGGACATTTTTGCGGCTGTGGTTCGAAGACGGGGCACAGTTCTGAGGATGGGACTTTCTCAAGTTACCCGCTATGTGACGGGTTTCGAAAGGAACTGCCACTTTCCTTCGTTATTTTCGATTGAACTCAATGAAGTCAATGATCGGCTTCACAATTATCTTCCAGGTATCGACCGTATCGATGAAGATTTTTCTGCAACAACTCCTCAATGTTGATGAGCAAAATCAATTGATCGAAGTAAATGCTTGGCTAAAATACGTATGTGCATTACAATCTTGGTTTTTACTTTGTTCCTGTTTCATTTTCCTCCAAGACAGGTTGTACGTTGCCTCCCTCGTCAGATACTCTGGTCCGTAGTAAAACGATTGCGTTTTCCAACGACCCTTCTTGGAGGCAGACTCGCTCAAATGCATGGCTCACGATCACTTACGCGACAACAATATCGCGTTGACGGAGCTCACGGCACGAGCGAGAATAGGCTAAGTAACTCGTCAAGTGGGGAAAATAAGCAAAAAAAACAGTCTGAAATGCCCGGAGTAGGACACCATGCCGACCCCATCTCGTACGTGCATGCAATGAAGAAAACGCGTGTTTGTACGATGGTGGCGTATGGATGTCATCATTATCATGATGATGGAAGCTCTTTTATCTTTTCACCTCACTCTCACCACTCGGAATGAAACGAGATAGCATAGTGGCTACTAGCTAGTAGCTAATAGTAGCCCCTCATGAGGTCCGGGCATGGCCTAGGTGGGTGATGCCCCAATGGCGCACAGCGTCAGCTTCAGCCGTAATCCTCGCCGATTTCCACTTTTGAAGTCAAGCACCAGCCTTTCAGAATCGCTTTGCGGATCGGTCCAACACGTCGAGAAGTCATGCCTCATTTATTCGCGCGATCCTGACATGCTAATTCCTGCTTTGAGCTTCTGAAACCTCCACCACTTCCCTACCAAACCAATCGCAAGCCTAGTTGAGGCGTTCATGCAAAATTGCAGTCTGGTCATTTGCGAGGCACTAAGCACCGGCCAGTGTGAGATATTAACGCTTTATTGGTCTTCTCATTGCCACCAGAAATTTTAAGGCAAGTTGCACGATAAATTCTGCCAAAACAACTAGGATCAATATATGCCTACCTCCTGGCAGGATACCACAATTCCGCGACCCTGGGCAGGCGCTGCATAGCGGTTTCCCCGAGGAAGGTGCCCTTATAAGGGCCCTATCAAGCCACAACTTTACGTCCCAAACGCCCGCCACGCCCGCCCGCCCACAAATGGACGACCGTTCCTGACGCTCTAATCGATTCACTTCCTAGCGGCCCAAAATTATGAAGCCAAGGCGACTTGGTATGGAAGCGGCCGTGAATGCTGCATTGTCATTACATGGGTACCACAGATGCAAGCCGGGCTTCAGTACGCTGATTGTAAGATGCCTACGGGAAACTCGTCCGAAATCGATTTTCAAGTCACTGAGAACGGAGGCTTTTTCTTCGCAGGATTTTGACCGTTTCACTCCGTTCTTTCGCCATTTCCCCACTATACAGCGCCCTACTAGCATTTTAGGCTAAGTAGGAAACCATCGTGCCAACTGCCTTTAAGCTTGGTAATGGATGGATATATCGACAAGGGTCGAAGTATCTGAGGACACCTGGCGTCCCGGAGCAGGCACTGCAAGACGCAAGCTAGCTGCGTACGATAGGCAGCACAGTCAAATGACGGCTAGCTTCTCCTATCGCCTCCATTGCACAGTACAAATTTGATATAAAGCACAAACGCTGTGTGTGCAGCTGTATCTCTCAAAATGGTTGTTAGCACGATGTCAACGGGAAACTCGTCCAAAAATGCTCGTCCAATGCCACGCAGAACCGAAGTTTTTTCGTTGGTTTTTGGCCGTATAACTTCGCTTTTTCCGTTTTCCCCACTATATAACACCCCTGCTACGATTTTCGAGCAAGTACCAAATCATGCCTTTAAGACATGGAACGACTATCGTTTGCGTTGGCGTCCGCTTCTTCACGATAACATCTCATCACTACGTTTTCCAACTGAAGAACAACAAATATGGCTACCTGATATTCTACTCTACAACAGGTAAGAAACAGAGGTGTCATACTACTGCTGACTATCAGATAACGGAGGCCTGCTAACTCGTGGACAGCTTTTTTTGAGACGGTCTTCCCATCGCTGCGTTGGGTGCAAAAGTTTAGAATTTGAGTTCTTGGAAACCTAAAGGTTTTGCCTAGCACATCCGAGGAGCAGCTACAAAGACATTGCAAGAACAAGAACAACATCGAAGTCCGAGGAATCGATGCTACCGTATTTCGCGCGTTTGGTTTAGTTTCCCAGGTTTGAGATCGAGTTATACCGCCTGCAGTACTACCCGGATGATGTCTGTACGTTTCACACACCTTCAACATGGCAGTGCTTTGGCGTGCCAAATCTACTAACTAAGAGATGCTCAGCTAGTTTCTGTGCTGCGCCTTGTGTATCCTGAATTACAGCCAAGAATCTGCGAAAAGAATCAGATCGGGCACAAACCATGTTCACTTGATGTGTGGACCCTATGCTTGGGTAAAGTAGACCGGTCTGCAAGGACGGAGGGTTAACCACTTTCGTGTCTCCAAATGTTTGACGAGGACGCGACCCAGGACGAAGGCAATGCCCCACCCACTTCCCCATACCACGCCCCATGCTCTTTTCTAAAGGTCACCTGGTAGTGCGAATACTTCTTCACTAGCTCTATCGATTCTGAACGTCGCATTTGTAGTGATCAGAGAAAAGGTCCGGTGAAACGTTCCTCTTTCTTCTCAGACTTTTTTTTCAGTGCAAACGAAAACTTTGATTCGTCGTGCCGTAGTAATCTGGTGGTCTATAGCAATGGAGAAGTGAATTGGATACCACCTGGAATATTCAAAATCAGCTGTAAGATGGACATAACAATGTTTCCATTCGATGAGCAGGTAGGTTAGGTTGGCTTAAAAAGGGATAGAGCCTTTTGCGCTGACTCATTCCTTTTTGGAATGCGCCATGGAATCTACATTCTTGAATCATAGTGTTGTTTTGAATGCTATGTGGCTGGGCACGATGACTTGGCGGGTACTAGACACTGCTGTGATCACCTCAGACGGAGCTGGTACCGCTGAAGCTTGCCCGGGATCCCATGGAAAACGTCCCAAAAGCTGTTCTGGATCCCTGTGGAGGCCATAATATTCAATACACAGCCCTTTCTTTCTCAAGGTTTTTTCTCAGGATATATGTATGCATCGTAGCTGCTTCAGTTATTACAGAGAACGTGCGGGAGGAAGGGGGGTCGGAGGTAAAGGGAATGCATTGGGGATGAGCCACCTGAGCAGCGCCTTCTTGCCTTCAATGTCGCTCCAAGAGAATGAATTCTCGAATTTAACTGACCGCTAGCTCAATAGGAAGGTAGATGAGCAGGCATAGTTGCGCTGCTGCTGCTCCCTGTGCTCCCTATCCGTGTAATGAAAGACATTCGCCTTCTGCTACATAGCACAGGGCAAATTGCATGGGACGCCCGTTTCTTTTTTTTTCCTGTGCTCAGAGTTCGGCTGCAAATGGAGGAGTAGCCTTGTTCACTGCGGATGATAGGGCGTGTCAGTAAGACCAGGTTTGACTTGGCGCTTAAAGGCACAGTTCGCGACCGCAAATTGCGGGAAACGGAACTCAAATAGGCACAAAAAAGTGCTAAGTATCTGATTAGCGGAGAAAAGCAGCAGAAAAGCAGTCCGAAATGGTATAGAGAAAGATAACATAGTGGCTACTAGCTAGTAGCTAGCAGCCGGTGAGGGTCGGCATGGGCCTAAGGGGTGTCCATGGGCCTAATTAGTCAGCTTCTAGCGGAGTCTTGCCGTTTTTCACATTTTGAAAGTAGCGCAGCCTCAAAAATCGCCTTCCGGATCGTCCGACACATTTGAGAGGTCATAGCCTTATTTTATCGCGGAATGTGCCTTTAATCCATTTTTGCACCAGTTGTTGAAGAGGAGCCCCTTCACCACATACATACCAGAGCCGTTGTGATTACGAAATGGTCACTAAAATAGCTACTGCATAATATCACGAGTTGTTCAGGTCTGCTTTCTGAAAATTTGGCTCATGGACATATCATGGTTTTGCTTTGGACCTTCGCATAGATTCTACGGATGAAGGTTTTCCAGTCTTTACTCTCTTTTATGTTACATCTTCCTCATAGAAAAAATTTGTTTATAAACAAAGATATTGGTACACTACTGTTCATCTGCAAGTTTCAAAAGTGCTGAAGGTTTCTCTACTCTTCTAGAAGTTATGCATTCCAAAATGTTCAGAACCATCAATGGACACGTCCACATACATTGCCAATGGCGAATGGGATTTGATTAGTTCTCCAGTAAGACGTGAAGTGTCATACTACAAATGTTGCCCAGAGCCTTATCCAACTCTCAAGTAACGCTCAGTTCCGAAAGAATTTCCTGTAATGTTTAACAGATTTTAGGAAAGAATTTCAGGTTCCATCTACATTTGAAGCGCAAATCGTTCTATTATATCTTTAACATAATCGTCCCATCGATGCTGATCTCTGGAATGACTTTACTCGGTTTCTGTTTGCCACCACACGATATGAGCGAGAAGATCGGTTTCCGTAAGTTTCACATTAGGCGCTTGTTGAGTGAGTCAATACGTCCACATTAGGCCGCACGCGAACCTGGTCGACACTCCTTCTGGCCCTGAAAAGAGGAAAATATACGCACTGTCGTTTTGGTAGGGTTCAGACTTTGTCTTCCCTAAGACAGCGTTCAGACCTGTCGCGCTGCAATTGCAGACGAGCGCAGGAGACCAGAGTCGATGAGATTGCCCTGCTCTTGACAAGACCATAAGTTTAGGACCACAGGGTGTATACAGTACCTCGGAAAATAAAAATAAATTCCATCGGGCCGTGAACACAAACATCTGCAGGATTAAATGACGGGTTTTGGGTAAAGCAAGTGAGATACGGTACCCCAGGCAGTATGTATTAGCACTTACTGCAAATAGTGCCCTCAAATCAAACTACGCCCAGCCGGCGGCCTACGGGTGGAGAGCTGAACTAGCGTCGCTGGCGTCGCCTCCTCAGATCCCACTACCTGGTTCTGTAATACAGTTTCCTCTGAGATCCACTCAATGATTAATACTGCTTAGGGGGGGGGGTCTGATGTCCCACATCATGGTCCACATTATGAATTTGGATACTCGGCTACTACTACTACTACTACAACTTATATTTTTCTTTTCAGAAACGACTATCTTATTGTCGGTATGCTTCTTTCTGACGATTCTGTCGGAGATGACACCCACAACCTCTGAATCGATTCCACTGTTAGGTACGCTCATGCACTGCTTGCGCGGTAATGTCCTTGTGCTAATTAGGGAAGATTTACGTATTTATCAGTTATTAATCAGTGGGTCCTGCGGTGGGCGGGGCATGACTACGTGAACTTTTTTGGCTGTGAGTGCGGCGGTGGTTACGTATCCATGAAGTGTTGCCTGCTTAGAACAGAGCTGGACAGGAAGCTGTTTGCAAGAAAGCGGCTAAGCCTCCGACATATATTCCTAAACCTCTGTCGCCTGGCATGACCTCTGTCGCCTGGCATGCTCAGATACGAAACCGCTGCACTCATCACGAGGTCCGTGGACACACATTATCCGAGGCCGTGGCTTGATGTTTCCATCTTACGGTAAATGTAAATATAGCTAGCTTTCGAAAATTCCGGTAGTATTCTGACACACGGAGCTTCTTCTTTTTGAGACTATCCAATGTTTTTATTTTTATTTTTAAATTCCAGTAATCACTGAAGAGTTACCTCCATTCAGGTGTGTTTTTCTCGTCAGTGACATTGATAGTCGCCATGTCAACAACGTTTACTGTTTGTGTGCTGAATCTTCGCTATCGACAACACGCAAATCATAAATGGCCACCTTTGGTATGTGGAGATTTCCTCTGCTAAGGTATAGTTGATAGCGTCACAGCCAGTCGGGAGAGTGTCAGGAGGGGTGGGATGAGCCCCGTCTCCAGCTGCCTCATTCTACGCAATAGTGATCGCTTACCGACTGATGAAACTAACAATACAACCGCTTGCGGACATGCCACGGAATGGCTCACTCCGTCTGTCTGGTAACCTTCGTGAGTGATTGGACGATAATCGACTGTATTTGGGGGGGGAGGGAGCGGGAAGCAGGCCACGCGACTTTGCATCGTTTTCTTTCGCTCTTTCCCTTGCTGCAACGCGGAATTGGCAATCCGCATCCTCCCCCAACCCTTTACCTTGCCTTTCTCCTACCACGGGATACTTTCCCTGTCGAATTAGAGAAGATTTTTTATTCAAGATTCACATGATATTTGTGGAATTTATACCATGGATTATGCTGATGCAACGTCCAGGATATCGATTTTCGTGTGCCAAAGCGTTGGATGAACAATCGCTCGACAACTCGGCGTCATGTGTGCAGGTTCGAGAGACAGAAATTACTAGTTCTGTTATAGAATTTATCATAGTGGCAGGCCTTTGCAGGCCTAGCCTTTTTCAAAGGAGTATTTTTTAGTATTTTTTTTGTGGTGTACTCGAGACGCTTCAGTACCTTCACGCTCAATCGATAAGGTCCTGCTGAGAGTTCCGAGCTGCTCTTTGCAACGCCTTTTCCTCGCCCGCTGGTCAGATGTGACGTCCCGGCAGCATCACTAAAGACACTCCATCTTCTGCTCGTGCTGGCGCAGATGAGCAGAAAAGGGATGTGACCTAAATTCGTCCATCTCCCCACTGCCTTTGTCCCTCCATGTTCATCTCCGCAACCCTCTGCTGGATAGTAGTGCGCATGATTCACATTGTGGCAACACGCAGGAGTTATCAGTGGATCTTACAGCTGATTCGCTCGACTTACTGCACCACTACCACGGTAGTCGATTTTGGTCTTGGAGCGAATTGTCGCGCATGTGACAGAGTCGTCACAGTGTCGCGGTGGATCTCCCTCGCTACGCCCTGTCTTGGGGTTAACATCCCTTGAGTGTCATTGCTGAGTCATTGATCATTAACGGCCAGTGTGAATACCTGATATTTCCTGATATTGCGCATCACTGGGCGCTTGGAAAGTGGTTCCGTCACGCGGCGCCCGAAGTTCCTGCTGCCGTTCATGCCCAAACTTGAGAAAATGTGATAATGATTCGTTGATATAATGACGGTTTTGGCTTGCATTTGGTTTGAAAGGTTTTTTTCGTTACTGTACAGCAGTTATCCTTGCAAAGAAAGTGGGTAGGGGACAGGTGTGAAAGAGCTTGATCGGAACACAGTCGGGGCAGCATTGGAGCTCAGCATGTCATCAACTGGTGGAAAAAAGCGCCGTCTGCTGCCCGCCTCGCTTTCACACGCTCCTCCATAAGCCCTCTCGCTTCTAGAAATAGTGAGTGTCAGGAAGTGCCAGGCGGCCAGCAACGTTGCGTGGGGTGCTGTGGGAAAAAGCATTGTAGACAGGGTACGTGATGTGTAAAATGGTGGTGTCAATACGACCGTTTTACAAGACTGAGGGAGGGTCTCGGTACGGCTCTTCCCAAACACGTACTGACCAGCTCCCTATATTTTCCAATTTTTCACCCAAGAACCCAAAAATTTTTCTGCCGTCTAGCGGGAGTGGGGGTAAATAGTACACATGAAACAGTGAAACAGGGGAAATCACGAAAAGTCAAACAATCGGTGAAATTTTTTTCACAACGCGACAAATTTCTCTCAAAGTCATGTACGACTCCCCCACCCTCCCCAGCGTATCAAGCACGACCCCCTCCCCAAGTCTTTCACAGAACGATGCTGTACCCTGAATGTAGAGCCCTAACTTGTCGCTTAACACTTGCTCGACTGAATGACAAGGCGTTCAGCTGACAAACAGCTGCGTACTATGAAAATTGCCCAGCATGCGCTTTTCACTCTTACTGGATCCACTAAAGACGCCGCTGAACAGTTTAGCATCTACTAGCTTCGGAATGTCAGCCAAAGGACAAATAAGCTAGTTTCACGCGAATTTTACGCGAATTCTATGTTTAGGACAGTGCTTTCAGTTCATTACCCTCTCGATGTTTTCAGTGCGCTTCACGCAATTGGGGTGATCGACTGTTGGATCAATGTGAGGAAACCGAAGGCGGAAATAAAGACGTTGTGCAAACCACTCTAGAACAGCTTCCAGGCGAGAAACTCGAATTGACGCGAAAAGTTGGAGAGGTAACTTCCTGCCTTTTTTTTTCTTTGAAAGGCAGTACACACGACGGCTA